ACATTGAATTTACATACTTTGTCAGTTTTCTGAGCCATGACAACAAATGGGAGAAGGTACAGCAAAGTGTTTCACAACACAGCACATGAACAAGTAGCAGCTGTTAATTTTGCTGCTTATTAGAGTGACTGAATGTGTTTCATGTAACATTGATTGTCTTTGAATTGCTCCAAGTAACTGTCTAGTTGTATGGAAATCATATTGCAGGCAACTCAAAACATGCAACCAGTTGCATAAAACTGTCACAATGTAAAGCAAAACAAAGCCTTGAAATTTCCCCTGCATATTTTCCTTTATGATGTTGTTTGGGAACCAAAGAGCAAAGTTTTTCACTAAAGAAGGACAAAATACATGTGAAGTCTTGTCCTTCACTAAATATATATATTTTTTTTTTTATCAGAAAACTACTGTTTGTATTTTCTACACATATTGAAAAATGAAATCCTATTTTACTGTATTTTAATTTAATGCAATCATAAACAACCAGACTGAAACAGTCGAAAAGTTGTCTTGAGTGTCAGCTCTGGGTTTTTGTAAACCTGTGTCCTCACTTGTAACAGAATATGAGACCTTGCAGTCGATGGTCAGACTCTGGCCTGGACGGACAACCTTGGAACCAGGCTGGGTCAGTTCATAACAGTGAACACCTGTTGGTCAAAAATACAACATTATGATATGTATAAACATTTATTAAACGTGATCTATGAACTGAAATGTGTTGTTTACTGAGTAACTCACAGGATGCAGCTGCCAGCAGGAGCAGTAGAGATGTAGAGAACATGGTTGGTGTTGAAGTTGGACCTGTGGGATCTTCTCTGTTCTCCACAGCTTAATAAAGGGTCACAGGTTAATAGAGAGATCCTGGGCGGGAGCTCGAATTTGCTTATGTAGTGATGCATAAGAGTCTGAGCTATTCATGATACGGAGAGGTTCAGCATGTGCAGCACAGAAGACTTTAGAATTTATTTGGTTTAAAGTGTGTGTTTTGAATTTCTGTAAATATTGCTTTTTGACTTTAAAATTAAAAATAAATAAATATTTTGTAATCAAACCCTTTATTTAAACTGATTAAATCCAGTTAAATCCAATGTTTCATCCTGAAATGTGTTTGGTTGTTTAGTTAGTGTAAACACTTCAGTGTTCCAGCATTTAAACAATGATAAAAAAAAAAATCCAGTGTAAAATATAAAAGTATTTTAAAGACCAAAACCTGAACAATCAGGAAAAAAAATACTTTACTAATTATTTTTATATATGAAATATTTAGACCTGTTTAGCTCAATATTAACCTCACAATAATTTGCTGTGTTGTTACATGAAATTGATTTTATGATGATTTCAGTTCTTTGAAAATCCATGGTTCTATATAGGTTCAGTTTCTTTACTAAAGAACCCTTGGAGAACCAAGTGTATCTTTGAACTGGTGCATCCAGCCCCAGATCAGTAAGTGATTATCACGGTTTTGCTTATATTCACTAACAAAGTCGCACAGGCAGCTGTTCCCAGTAGAACACATAGCTTGTCAAACCAATTATAATCATCCTTCTGATTCTGATTTACACCTTTTTGTTATGCAATGTCAGTCCAACCTGATGTTTTATTATGATTTAAGATTAGTATTTATGTTGTATAAACAATGATGCAAAAGTGTTTTTTGGGTAATACCTTACTTACTTACTACATATAATATATGATGTAGCCATGTCATAAACATGTCATTGTGTCATATGCGGTCATTGTTTTGTTCAATAGTATAACATTGTCATGTTACCGCTACCTGTAATTGTCATGACAGATGCAAATGTTTAATAGCTAAAACAGAGTATGCCTAGCAAAAATTAGCATGTTACAAAAGCTGTCATAACAACTACTTTAACTACAATAACATATCTACTATGACATGTTTATGGCATGGTTATGTCAATGTTATGTAGCAGAGTTCAAATAACATTTTTGTGTGTGTTTATTTCATTTTTTTTTCAGTCATTTAAAATGCTTCTATTGATTGATTGATATTTGTATGCATGAAATAGAAGATATAACATAAACATGAACATAGAGAAGGATGCTGAGATGAACATGTGAGCTGTTGAGGGTGTTTTTGTTCAGGTCAGCTGGGTGGTTGTAACGCTGTGGCTCTCTGGCGCAGTAATAAACAGCTGTGTCCTCTGACTGAAAGTTCTGGCCTTGTAAAAACACTGTGCTGCTGGACGTGTCCTGACTGAAACTGATCTTGCTCTTCACTGTGTCTTTGATATTAGTGCCACCAAGGCTACAGAGATATCCAAGCCATTCCAGTGCTTTCCCAGCAGGCTGCCGTATCCAGTGAATACAGTAGCTCGACTCTGAGGTCTTACAGGAGATGGAGAACGATTCTCCAGGTTTTACTACCTTAGAAGCAGACTGAGTGAGCTCCACACAGTCTACACTACCTGACAATAACAATGAGAGAACATGGTGTCAATTCATTTCACAGCTATGTGTAAATTCTCAATTCAAAACTAATCAAAACTGATCTAATTCACCCAGAATGGAGACTTACCGAATGCTGCTATCAGTAACAACAGTAGTACTGAGGAGGTCATTATTGCTTTGTGTTAAACTAAACTGAATGAAGCTGCTCTTCTCCTCCTCAGCAACACAAGCAAGCCTTTTATGTAAGAGGGGCAGGTGGAGGATTTGCATGTAGAGCATCATATTCACTATTATTACATCTCAGGATTTGGGTTCACTCCCTAAAATTCCATTTCATGCTTTAGGAAAACATGTCACACCATTAAAACAAACCAAAAATGCTCATAATGCTACACTTTATTTTGTTACAGCTCCAAAATTCCAACTCTTACTTTGGTTTTTGGTTGATCCATTTTTTAAACCCAACTAAAATCCTGACAGATGTACTCATTTATCCAGCAACAGACCATGAAATTCAGTTCACATGACTACACAGCATTTACATGTAGAGCACAGGCCTTCAAAGTCTGATAGAACTACATTAAAAAAAAACAAGATTTTATTATTGTTTGTTTTATTTATGATCAAGAGTGCTTGAATAATAGTTTTGGATATAGCCCCCTGTAGATGCTGATCTTGCATATAACTGATTCATTTAAAAATATATATTAAATTCAACCTAGTTTTCCCTAAAGCTAACCCTGACTCTAACACCTCGAACCCTAAACCTAACCATCACCCTGGTCCTAATTGTAACCCTAGTACTAATCCCATCCCTGATCCAAACCCTGCTGAGAAAAGAGTTCCACCAGAAAATATGTTAGTAATTTGCAAATCTATAAATAATTGGTTGGGTATATTTAGGTAAAATAGAACCGTTTTCTGAGATTTTATTTCTATTTGTGTGCAGATCACTACCTGAGCCACTCACTCAGTGTAGGGCTAAAGTCGGAGGTGAATATCATTAGTATTTGACCAAATATGCATATATTTGGTTTAATAGTGATCTTGTTAATAAATTTCTTTAATGTGTGGGATTGAAAAGGCATTTTTTTTAAACTCAGTATTGTTTACTTCACTTTAAAAATTGATGCAGAGAGCATAACACTGACATAACTATGCTATTAACATCTCCAAGTTTGGGTAATAATGAAATACCTGTAATAGCATTATGTAATCAGAATGCAAAATGAAAGTAACTGTATTCCTTTGTCATTGGTGAAAAATAAAAGCAGTAATTAGATTGCTTTCTTTCTTCAATAACTCTGTAATGATGGGTGCAACATGTTAATATGTGTAAAATTTCATTATTTTTCACAGAGACAATCAGCTCCCACTTAGTTTAGATGTGAAATTAATGACTTTCTAAGCTTGATGTTCATGTTGTATTCTATGGACTGCTAAAAAAGCAGAAAGCTAAGGGAGTATCTATAAATTACATTGCAATGGATGATGACTTTAGTAATCCTTTTGATTAGGGTACAGATTACATTCTCTAACAGGCAGTCAGTAATCTACCATTTTACACTAACATTCCCAACCCTGAACATGTCATGGGCGATATAATGTGCTGTTATGAGTTGTCATGACAGATTATGCTAAGTAGTGTAAACGTGTCATGTTCACATTACAAATATTTGTTTAGATATTTATTGTAATGCTGTTACAGTGATGTAATGATGGCTAACCTGAGTGTGCTTAGCAAAACTAGCTTGTGACCTGTCATGATATAAAATATTCTGTCAAGACAATAACTGGTAATGGTAACAACATATGACATCTATCATGATATGCTGTTTGCATTTTTAATGTATAAACACAGAAAAAGACTGAACCCATTTTGTTGTAATTTATTTGAATCCAGCCATGAGCAACCAGACTGAAACAGCTGATTAGTTGTCTTGAGTGTCGGCTCTGAGTTTCTGTAAGCCGTGTTCATTAGTTAGTGTCACTGTGAGTCTCTTGCACAGTAATACACAGCTGTGTCTTCAGTCTGCAGATTCTGTCCTTGTAATGTTATTGTGTTGGTTCCAGTGTCTCTGGAGATGCTGAACTTGTTTTTCAGTTTGGCACTGTACTCTGTGCTCCCACTGCTATAGATATTTCCAATCCACTCCAGAGCTTTTCCTGCAGGCTGTCGGATCCAAGCTGAATAATAGCTTGTAAACTGAATATGAAACCTTGCAGTTGATGGTCAGACTCTGGCCTGGACGGACCACCATGGAACCAGGCTGAGTCAGTTCATAACAATGAACACCTGTGGATGAAAACATAAAGTGATTAGATCCAGTAAGTCAATTCAGTTTGAAACTGAGCTTAATGGCATTCAGAGAGAAGTGTGTTCTTTACTGAGTAACTCACAGGATGCAGCTGCCAGCAGGAGCAGTAGAGATGTAGAGAACATGGTTGGTGTTGAAGTTGGACCTTCGGCTTCTTCTCTGTTCTCCACAGCTTAATAGAGAAAGTTGGGGTGGGTGGGTGGGGGGGATGGGGGGGGGTATTTGCTTATCTAGTGACCCGTGAGAAGCAAAGCTATTTAAAACACGGAGAAAAGTAGTTTTATACAGTGCATGTTCAGTAACATATGATATACACATTACGAAGACCTTACAAAGGATCATGTTTCATGAGATTAACTCTTCCAAAACACTCAGAACTGCTAAGATACATCAAAACTCTGCTTTAAGGTTAACTTGAAACATAATCTAAATGAGAGACTCACAATTTTGAGTCATTTTACTAAACGCTAACTAATTCCAGGCCTGTCATGCCCATGAAATCTAGTCTGACCATCAACTTCAAAATAAATCATTAACAATTTAAATGTATTTTAGCTCATTATATGCAACTATTACAATATAAATCTGAAGGGGCCCAATGGCCAAAATGTTTGGCTCATGCCCTCCAAAGCTACTAAATAAATAAATAAATAAATAAATAAATACTACAATTGAATTATTATACATTCCAAAATGGTGTGCATCTTTTTTGTAACAATTTTGGATATAATGAGATTTTAAAAAGAATAAGAGCTTTACTTGATTTTGTATATATCACTGCTGTCTGAACAAAACCTCATAACCACTTTTGTCATTTTTCAGCTTTTGCCCTTTACATTGTTTCAAAATTTCATGATGAATGGACCAAAAAATGGGCCACACTTTGAAAAAAGTCTGGTTCCATTGACTTACAGTTATAAAAGTGGTTTATAATGTAAAATCCTTCAATTGCCCCCCAAAAACTGCTTTGAGGATTTGTTTCAAATAAGAAGGCTCCTAATACCAAAAATATAAAGAAAAATCTCATATATCTTGTATATTTTTAAAGTATTAACTTTTGTTTTCCAGACATTTCTTCCTGGCTTTCTCACCAGTTACAAGACACTTTCCAAACCAGGTGGATAAATATTTTAAAAATTGAAGGTAATTCAGTAAAGAAGCTGGTGTTGGGGATTTAGCAGAGTAATAATGAATACTGAACTCACAAAACATACAGTATAAATCATGAGATTAAATAATGGCAATGTGTATAGTGTCTCCAGTTTTTGTACAGCTGTCTGTATGAGTTCCACCGCAGTGAGTCCAGAGCACAGTAATACACTGCAGTGTCTTCAGGCTTCAGTTGACTCATGTGCAGGTAGAGATTAGAGCTGTCCTTGGATGCTGTGAATCTGCCCTGAACTGACTGAGCTGAGCTCTTGACAGAACTGGTGTAATAGAATACGATCCACTCCAGTTCTTTCCCAGGAGCCTGACGAACCCAGTACATATTATAGCTGCCCACAGTGAATCCACTGCAGGCACAGGTCAGTTTGTGGGATCCACCTGGAGCCACTGTTACTGACCTCTCAGACTGTGTGAGAACAATCTGAGAGTGGACACCTAAACAGAGACACAGAGAAACAGCAGGTTAAATTCGGTTAGCACATATAATGCATTAATATGGTTCCTCATTGAGAGAGATAACAGACTCACATCCTGCAATCAGCAGCAGCAGTAAAGACGTGAGATACATGCTGTGTGTGGAAATGGAGCTGATACCAGAACCAGAACCTCTCAAATTACTGTATGTATAGGGAAAAATATGATTTGCATAACAAGTGAATGTGAAATACTGCTGCACTGAGTGCAACAGACAGATGTGTGTTGTGGGTGAAGGGTGCCCTCTACTGGAGCATGAATGAATTTAACTGACAGTTAGACTGAGGATCTTTTACAGTTCAAAGGATCTGCTGAGACATTACAGACTGTGTAAATGAGGAGCATCTCAGGAGGTTGTGAAGGGAATTTATCTGCAGTATTAAACCTGTGTCTACAATGACTACCACTACCACTACAATGACTGCCACCTAAAGCAATGTTTTCTGGTTTAAAGATTAAGAAACCCCCCTATTAGATGATGTGTCTTCAAGGTTGAAGGAGATTTTGAAAAACTACAAATGCTGTGGATGGATACATGAAGTTGGACTGTTTGAAATGTTATTTATTTATTTATTAGTTAGCTACCCACTTAAAGATGGTTCTTCAAGGGCTTTAGTAAAGATAATAGTTCTATGTAGAACCATGAACACTCAAAGAACCCTTTGTATGAATAAAGGGTTCTTTGCATCGTGAAAAGTTCTTCAGATTGATTGGAGATTGGAGTATGTGCTGTAGGTGGTTGTATATAGGACCTTTTTGAAAAGGGTTCTTCTATTGTAACAAGCCTGACATCGTAACAATAGAAGAACTATCTAGAACCCTTTCAGGTACTGGTGATCTTTCTGGTACTATTTGTTTTCTGATCATGCCAAAGGTGCGGATGTCTTCTTGTGACTATCATCATTAGGCCATTGAGAGATTGAGTTACTTAGGCTACATTCACATTGCAGGCTGAAGTGGCACAGTCCAGTTTTTTGCCCAATCAGATCTGATGCTTTCAGAGCTGTGTGGTCAGACAAATCTGATCTTTTCAAATCTGATCGATCTGAGCCACTTTCATACTTTGGCCTAGATCAGATACATATCCAATTTGAAGCCATGCGACCTTAATGAAAAACCTTTTTTTCCTGTGCATGCGCCTTCGTTCAGCGTTACAGTGGCAGCAGCACCAAACCTGAAGTTAAAGCCAGTAAATAGTGGAAATGCAAAGCATCTGACCCTTTTCGCCTTCGTCTCGCTCTAATAATGAGCAGCTGAGAGCTGATCAGAGTTCATTATATTCATAGCAAAAGCTTGTCCTGCTGGTTAGTTTGTTTGCTGTTCATGACGCACATGATTCATTCAAATGATTTGATTGATTACGATTGATTGCGGTCAACAGTCCCCAGATTTCATCTACACTAAAGATACAATTTTCCTTTTATTCTCTATGTGTCTCTGGTCTCTATTACCCTCTAGTGTTTTCAGGCTTCAGCTGACTCAAATGTAGGTAAAGTAAATAAAATATTAATATCATGTTGTTTTTGTTACAAGTCTGCTGGATCTGGTTAAACTTTAGATCCAGTCAAACCATCTGTTTGCCTTTTGAGAGAGGGGCACAATCTACTGGAGTATATTAAATATAAGGGAACTGTTTCCCAGCATTACTCAGAGTGATGTTTATTCTTACATATTTATTTTTAGACATCCAGAACGTTAAATTATTGAAATTCAAATCTTACAAGTGTTTTACAGCTATAGTTGTATGCAAAAGTTTGAACACCTGGACAAATGACATGTATATTTATTTTCAGAAACATAAAACATTGAAATGACTGGTTATAATGATTAATAAAATCATTAATGGTTGATTGGAAGGTACAACATGAATGACAACTGACTATAACTACAGAAGGGTTTTTGTACAGAGCTGCACTGCTGTGTCTCTTCTTGCACAGTAATAAACAGCCGTGTCTCCAGTCTCCAGGCTGCTGATGTCTAAGAACAGCACATTACTGCTTGTGTCTCTGGAAATTTTGAAGCGACTCTTAAAGGAAGCTGCGGTGTCTATAGATCCACTACCCCACATGATCCCGATCCACTCCATGGCTTTCCCTGGAGGCTGTCTGATCCAGACTGTACCGTAGTCAGAGAGACGATAGCCAGAAACCTCACAGGACAGCCTCACTGATCCTCCAGGAGGCTTCAACTGAGCAGGAGACGAGCTCAGACTGATTCCATGAACATCTGAGAGGAGGAAACAGGCCATAGAGACCATTAAACACACTGCATTTCATCCTAAACTTAGAGATATGGCTAATAAAGAAATGATGAAAGTCTGAGGACATATAAGATGATATATGATAAGAATTGAGATCCATTTGAAAGCTCCAGTTGCCTTTTACTTTGGATCAATTGACTTTTCAGTGGGTCAGAAAAGTGTTTTAAAATTAACTAATATAGTACTTCCCTATAAATTTATCCTTTCAGTTTTCTTTTGACAGCAACAAGACAATGTGTCCACTTACACTGTACACAGGCCAGCAAGAGTAGAACAATCCAGTTCAAGATTACTCTAGAAGTCAATAAGGGTCTACAGACACGCTGCTTCCTTCATCTTTCCTGCTCCGTGTTCGATAGAATGTGTGTGAGAGTATCTCTGCCCTATAAACATACAGTGGCTGGTGGACACTTTGCATAATTTATATCTCAGATGATTAAGGAGGAAAACTTAAATGCTTTCCTACAGTATATGTTTAATAAAAAGTGAGGTGTGTTTCTGCACTATGAACTTTTTAATAGAGCACTGATTCTAGATGAAGTGATGTGATAGTCCAGTACACTGATGGGAAGCAGAGTTTGCAGAATTGTGGCTCATTTTTCACCCATTCCATTTGGCAAACTGTCTTCAGATGATCACGGTCCCCTTTGGCTTCAGTTTACAAATTCTGCACACATTTATCCATGGGATTCAACACCGAATATTGCCCAGGCCAGCATCTTCACTTTTTATAGAAACCAGAGTTATTTTGTTACTTTTGTGGCCAAGGAGATTTAATTCTCCTCTAATATGTCTTGGTACATCAATCCATGTTTCCTTTGAAGCTTTATGCCTTGATGCTCCCACCATCATGCTTCACTGTGGGTATGGTGTTCTCAGGATCATTCCCTTTTTCTCCAAACAGGACAAGCTGATTTATTGCCAGGATTCGAGATTCTTCTATTTTTGTTTCATCTGACCAGAATATGTTTATCTAAAAGACGTCTGATCAAATCTAGGGGTGCATCTCCATGTTTCTTTTTTAGCAGTGGGGTGTAGGAACTGTGAAGATTGTGGTGCAACTCATTGTTCTTTGAGTAACTATTGTTCCTGTTGATTTCAGGTCATCCTGCAACTCCATGCGACTACTTGGGGTTTCACCACCACCTGGGGTTTCAAGTGTGATCAGTCCTCTCTCTTGTCAGCCAGCTTGAAGGCCTCTTTTAAGGCTTAGGCTCCTCCCCCCTCTACATCAGCCAGGCCTCTGATTGGTCAGTGGTCCTCCTTACATTACTGATGGCAAAACAGGTTCACCTGTGAAGGAAACCAAAATACCTGCTTACAAATAACAGCATTCATATTTTGATTTTTGTTCTGTTTTAAAGCTTTATATTTTCTAAAGAGCTGAGTAGTAAATCCCAATGATGGGTATCAAACTGATTTTTTTGTATTAGAGTTTAGAACATCATAATCTTAATAGTGTGATAAGTGATGGTTATAAAATGATTTTTAACAGTCTTCTAATTAAAATGACTAAACAGAGCAATGAATTTCCTCTGTCGTGGGGTAAAGAAGTAGAGCCAGCAATGTGTAGTTATGACCTTTACTCAAATTAAAATGTGTCCTTCTGTTCTGTTCACTGCTAATTTGCTTGCAGTTTACCTGCCACACATATTAGACTTTTACTTTGCTGCTAGTCCAAAAACTTTGAACTGAACTGTATAATACAGTCTAATACTTTGGCATTGAAATGCTTCACAACAAGGAGACACAATAAGCAGTTTAGCATTATGTAAACAGCCTGAAATACAGGCTCCTGAAACATTCTACACTCAGTTGAAGAGCATTTTAAATATTTTATGAGTAATAGGTTCAGATTTTTCAGAAAACTCTTTACAGATTTTTTAAAGAGTTTCCTAAATTGAGGTTTTGCTGCCACTGAAGGTTTTTGTGCAGGTTGTCCAGTAGCCTGTGTCACTGTGCCAGTGTAGCGAGCGCAGTAGTACACAGCTGTGTCTTCAGCCTTCAGATTCTGTCCGTTTAGAAAAACAGTGCTGCTGGACGTGTCTCTGGAGATGCTGAACTTGCTCTTCAGTGAATCTTTGTAGTCTGTGCTCCCACTCGCATGGATCATGCCAATGAACTCAAGAGCTTTTCCTTCAGCCTGTCGAATCCATGAGGGGCCTTAGTGCTATCACTGAGGGAATAGCCTGAAATCTTACAGGGAATGGTCAAAGACCCCCCAGGCTTCACAGTCAGTGAGCTGGGCTGGTTATGATCAGTACTGCAGTGCACACCTGTGGATGAATTTGAAATAAGAGTTAGATTTTAACCAGACTGTGAAGCATCAGCATAGACACTGAGTAATTATAAAGAATCTTACACCATGCAGCAGCTGCGAGTAGAAATAACTGAAACATGGCTCATTAACTTACTGTGTCCAGCTTAACTGTAGCTTACCTAAAGCAGGCTGTTTATATGTGTCCAATGTGGGAGGAGTCACATGCAAATTTGATTTAGCACTAACAGCTTTTATGGCATTGAAACCCCCCAAGCACATCCTTTCCTGAAGCTGCAAGCAAATTCTCAAAAATATAAAATAATAATTTGAGCAACTCTTGTGCGCAAAAGGGTAACTAAACATAACAAAATACTTTTAGCAGAATTATATTGAGATTATTCAAATCATTAAACTACACATATATTTGTGAAGAAGTTAAACAAATTGTATTGCATATATTTGGTTTCAATAGACAATACAAGTTGACCATTCACTTGCTTTATGTGGTATAAACAGTCATTTATACACCCCACGCCAACTTTTTATTTATTTATTTTCAATCTGCTGTTTTAAAGATTTGTCTTTTTTTTCTGTCTCGGTTTGAAAAATGTTGTTGCCTTTAGAATTTTTTGCAATTTAATGACATAATGTTGAAAACAAAATGAAATAGAGCTGTTTTCTAGTGTTAATTAGGCTTATATAGGATTTTATATAGGAATTTTATTACATGACTGCATCATTTCTTTCCACAATGCATGATATTTCCTCAAGACAACATACCCCAAAAAGAATTCCAAAGCATTGGTTAAAAAATACTTTTGATTTCAACATTCACATCTATTTTTGCATAAAAAATGAGCAAACAGTTTTTAAACCATTGTTGTCATAGTGCATGTTTAAAATTCCCCAGCACAAATATAAAAAAAGATTATTTTTCTATTATTTTCCTTAAATAGTTTGAGCAAACCCAGTGCAGTTTCTGAATATTAATGCACCCTAAGCAACCTTTTACTTGATGGCCCCCAACTCGCCTCAGTCATATTATTTTGTATGAAAAAAAATAAGAACACAATAGTTTATTGATATGACAAAATGTAGTCAATAAAACATTTTTTTCACATACAGACCAAAAAAGAAATAAAACAAACCAGCACTTAAAAATAAAGAAGTTGGCTGGCTGGCTGTAAATGACTGCATATACCGTATAGGCAATGTACATTAAGAAACTGGGGGTACTTAGGGGCACCATAGATGACTGTGTTGCTTCATGGCAACACACATTAAGAAATCTGTCATCAGATAAAACTCAGTTATATTTTGCTAAATTAAAAAAAAATAACTTCACATTCTGAGAGAAACTGTCCAGTACAGAACTGTATGAGGAGACAATGGGGTTGTTGCCCTGAGGCAACACTGTGCAAATAAGGGTTAAGATTTTATTTGATATTTTTTTTATTTGAAGCTAATAATACTGAAATCACAACAATGTATTTTCTGATGGGAATTGTTTTTTCCAGAATGAGCCAATCCTGAAATTAAGCAAATATTTAAATGCCTTTATGACATAACCGATTGTCTACATTATGCTTAGTGTTAGAAATGGCCTACGTTTGTTTCTGCTCCAATAGTATTAATGTAAAATTGTGGATTGTTTGACCAGTGTAACTGGTTAAATTGGATATTTCTAATATTTAGAGCATTTTAGAGCAACTGTAGGTTTTTGTAAGCCGTGTTCATTAGTTAGTGTCACTGTGAGGCGCTTGCACAGTAATACACAGCTGTGTCTTCAGTCTGCAGATTCTGTCCTTGTAATGTTATTGTGTTGGTTCCAGTGTCTCTGGAGATGCTGAACTTGTTTTTCAGTTTATCACTGTACTCTGTGCTCCCACCACTATTGATAAATCCAATGTACTCCAGACCTTTTCCAGCAGGCTGTCGGATCCAGCCTGTGTGCTGGCTAGTAACAGAATATGAGACCTTACAGTTAATGGTCAGACTCTGGCCTGGGCGGATCACCACGGAGCCAGGCTGAGTCAGTTCCTCACAGTGAACACCTGTAGATAACAAACACAAGGATTATGTTCATATATAAATACACATTAAACATAACTTAAAAACTGAACTGTGTTCTTTACTGAGTAACTCACAGGATGCAGCTGCCAGCAGGAGCAGTAGAGATGTAGAGAACATGGTTGGTGTTGAAGATGTTCTGCACACCTTAATAGACATGGTCTCATCTTCTCTATATAGAGAGTTTCCATTTGCTTATCTAGTGACCCGTGGTAGGCAAAGCTATTTATGATATGGTACAACTCATCTTGAGCAGGACTGAAGACTTTCAGAAGTAAAACTCTACCTGGATGTGAATTTTTAATATAATATTCATATAAATTACATTTCATTCAGAAGATTTTATTCAGTTGAACAAGCCCAGTCAAATTGTTTGATATGAGTTGACATGAGTTTTTATGTTGAACCCAAAACTATTTCTTACAGTGATGCTAGGAGGCTATACAATATAAAGAAATATTAGATTTAGTATTATGCAATTGTTTACATATATTTTGTGGTCTAGTTTACAACGCATGCATAGTGTATATTATAATAGCAATATATCTTATATATTATGAGATGTGTAAATTGTGATTGTATATGAAATACAAAATATTGTATTGATCTGTGACTACAAATCTTTGAACGTTAGTGTATTAATTAGATATTGGGAGTAAATGCTGTTATATGTTTCTCTGTAAGAATCATGAACACGTTAATAACTGTGTTGTGCTGTCATGTTGTCGGTGAGGTGGTTATAATAGTTATGTTTCTTTTCTTTTATTTCCCTTTTTCCAAAACTAGAGTTATGTGGAATTAATAAAAGATGTATAGAAATGGATCTCCTAGACCACCAAAACTGTCCCCATCAGATAAACAGCACTTAAAGCTTTCATCATTGAGAGAGAGGAGAAAATCAAACTGCTTCAGATCTGAAAACATCCACAGGTGTTTCTGTCCATCGTACCACTCTGAGAAGACCACTCAGCGCTGTGGGTCTGAAAGGATGTGTAGCTGTCAAGAAGTATCACTGAGAAAAGGAGACGGACACATCAAACAAAGAAGCTGAATAATAGACTGTCCACCCCAGAGTCCAGACCTCAACATCACTGAATGTGTTTGGGATTGTTTGGATTGTGAGAAGTCAAAAAATGTAACCAACTTCTAAGACTGAACTTTGGAGGTGTGGAACAATATCCCTGTAGATTTTTTGGAAAAACTGAAAGTCTCCTGAAACGGAAGCTATAATAAAGGCAAAGATGGACACACTAAATACTGATATTATTGTGGCAGCTGCTCTGTATTGTGCAAGGGGCGTTGGGGTGGTCTAGTATGCAAAGCTGTGCTGAGCGTCCACCCCCGTGCCCCCCACCCCCAGCTTAAACATTGTTTTCCTCTTCTGTTGTTGTTGTTGTGTTGTTAGTGTTGTTGTGTGTCACTCTGAGATATGGTTTTGTGTTGACTATGGGTCGTTGTGTTGTGATCGTGCGTTATTGGTGTGGGTCATGTGGTCACCATGGAGTAGTGCACTATGGCTGCAGATGACCTTTCCTGCCATTCACCTGTTTGTTTCCGTGTCTATTTGCAGCTTATTGTTCAATATGGAGAGATTGTTCAGAATCCATGACCTTCTTCTATGAGTCTTCTTTGCAGTGATGTCACATTATATTCAGTTGGTGAGGTTTGCTGGCAGAGGAATGTTTTGTTGATGAGTTTTTGTACAGCACTTCCTCACTGTTTCATCACTGTGTGTGGTCTTCTGGCACAGTAATACACAGCTGAGTCTTCAGTCTGCAGATTTTGTCCCGACAGTGTTACAGTGCTGCTGTCTTTTGAAATGCTGAACTTGCTCCTTAAGGAGGCTTTGGTGTCTTTTGCTCCGTTACCACATATAGTGGAAATCCACTCCAGAGCTTTTCCTGCAGGTTGTCGTATCCAGTCTGTACAGTAGCTGCTTTCAGTTAATGAATATCCAGACACCTTACAGGTCAGTGTTATAGACTGACCAATATTTATGGCCATGGTTCCAGGCTGGGTCAGCTCTATGCAGTGAACACCTATATGAAATAAGAAATTACAATAATTGTTAAATAACAGTCTCTCATTGATATTATTTAGCCATTATACTGACACTCACTGGATGCTGTAGCAAGAAGCAGCAAAAATCTTGCAGAAAACATTGTTGCATTAATGCACTTCTTCATTGAGAATCTACCAACTCGTTTTAAAACGATTCCTCTGTTCCTCCACTTTGCTTTATATAAGGCGATGAAGAGGAAAGGTTTGCATACCGAACTGTTTATTCTTAGGCTGAGACTTTTGCATTGCAAGTTCTGTGTAAAGAGCCCCCTAGTGGCTTTTAAAGTCACTGCTTCATTCTGACTAGTCAACAAAATATATATTTATTTCTTTGTTAGGTTATTTACTTTATGGTTATTTGCATCCTTACATTTTAATGTTTTTCACTAACCAGTCTACAACAGCAATAAACATCACCATATTTTACCATATTTTATACTGCATATGCACAATATGTCAAGGAAGCATTTTTAAAATATTCGTTTTACAATTTACAAAATTTTACAAAAAATGACCAAAATCTGTCAGTGCTAAATATTTAAAAAGCATTTTGTTAAAATGTTTTTGGTTCAAATGTTTTGATCATGATATTCCATGATCAACAACTATATCTTTTTAATAATCATCTTTTGAATATTTTGTCCTCACTTTACCCCTTAAAATCCCAGGTCTGTCACATACTAAGGCTTATTATTCAGTGACTACAGGGACTTCAATGCAAACTAGCTGAGCTATTTGTAGGTTATAAAAATGAGTAATAAAGTGAAGCGTGTAATTAAACTAAAGCCATTTCATGGGTTCATTTCTAAACTCCATATAAGCACTTGTTGCTTTGTGCTTTGACAGTCACAAAAAATTCTAGACAGCAGTAGATTCTATCTGTGCTTGGTACAGTTTCACTGAAACTCTCATTTGCTTGAATATATGGCACTAATATATGGCACCTAGACCCAATCAATCCTAATCCTAACCTTACCTTCAACCCAAAACCTAAACCCAATCAATCCTAACCCTAACCTTACCTTCAACCCAAAACCTAAACCCAATCAATCCTAATCCTAACCTTAATCCTTAACCTGGCCTTAAAAATCTAGTCCTAATCCTAAACCTAACCTTAACTCCAACCCAAAATCTAATCCTAACCCTGATCTTAAATTCCACCAAAAGCCTAAACCTAATTCTAATCTTAAGCATTACCTTACCTGCAACCAAAAGGCCAAACTTAATCCTAATCCTAATTCTACAATGTTAATAGTGAAATGAATATCAACAGTATTTTATTTATTTCTTTCATAGAACAAAAATCCATGCAAAAGACCATTTAGGAACAATTAGTTTTCAGTATGCCTTTCCACAACAGGCCAGGAGTTGTATGAATACATATATATATATATATATATATATATATATATATATATATATATATATATATGTATTCATACAACAGTTAGTTCCAGCCAAGCAAGCTGATTGGTTGAGAAGTGTTCTAACTGTCCTGTTATTTCACCATAACATCACGAGTTTTTCACAAACACTGTATCACTCCGCTGAAATGCGTTGCTAACGACTTTGACAGCTGTCAGAGATGCTCAAACCATTTGAACGTTTTTACTTCTTACTTTGGTCACAAACAGAAAATGGACACTTTTAAGATCACATTTGACCGACAGCTGATTTGGTCAGACTCTGAAGATGAGACTACACTAAATTCCCAAACTGCCCGTTGGTCTGTGTGGAGCTGGAGAACGAACTGCTGGCTGAGCAGCGAGTGGGTGGAGCTCATTACTCTGATGTAGCAACAAGCTGCTTGTTAAGGAGCTATAATTTGGCGGAAGGAACTGCCAACATTAAAACATATTAAATGCCGCGTTCACGACCCAGTTTGTTTATTTATTACTTTATTTATTTAACTCTTGAATAAAAGCAATAGAACACTTGAGGCAGATCTTCTTTGACCCAATACTGACTACTTTATGAAATATAAAATGAAATGCACTGTAATTTGGTGAAGGCTAGTTGATAAAGTGCACAGCTTTGAGTTTATATTCACTAATCACTGGTCAGCATGTGTGCTGGTTTTTGAGTTGATTTGCTTTGCTTCATTTGATGAACTTTAGCACCACCTGTTGTTACTTTAATGGTAGTATTCTTATAAAACTGTCCAGTGAACATCAAATGAACAAACTCACATATTTCATTTCAATGTGCTATTTATTGTGAATTAAATTGAGTTCATGTCTGAAGCAATTAAACATTTCCATTATCAACGTCTGACTACAGAGTAATAACCTGTAGATTCACAACAGTAAGTTTCTCTGTCAGAGTCTCCTTGTTTTCCTCTGTAACTGAATGGGGAAGTGTTTTTGTACAGCTCTGTCACTGTTTTCTATCACTGTGAGTATCTAGCACAGTAATACACAGCAGTGTCTTCACTCTTCAGGCTGTCCATCTGTAAGTACAGCTGACTGCTGGAGTCGGATCTGGAGATCGTGAATCTTCCCTGGACTGACTGGGAATAGCGGATGGGAGAGCTGGATGTTCCAATAGTAGCAACCCATTCCAGGCCTTTTCCAGGAGCCTGTCTGACCACACCTGCCCAGTAGCTACTGAATGTGAATCCAGATGCTGTACAGGTCAGTTTATGAGACTCTCCAGGTCTTTTAACCACAGCTTCAGACTGGATAAAGGTTTGGCACAGAACAGCTGTGGAAAGGAAACCTGTAAATTAAACCAGTGTTGCAATAACAATAAAACAAATTCAAATATTGATTATTGACTTAATCTCACCATTCAGAAACATTGCTATCAAAAGCAGATTCACAACAATCTCCATAGTTTCTTCCTTATTTTCTTGGGTATTCTTTCTTATTTCCCAGCTGTGGAATCAGGCAGTGCATCTTGTAGAAGTGAAAGATTCACATATAAGAGGAAGATGAGTTTGCATAGATCCTCCTCACTGACTTTAAACACCAATAAAGAGCCAAGAACACAAGTTCATTATCCACAAATCTCGAAATACATCCACTAGTACAAACTTTTTAAAAAATATTTCAATATTTGAACAAGTACAAAGCAGGTTTCTCTTTATCTTTTGAGATAGATGCAGTTACTATAATAATCTAATAAGTGAATTTTACACTGCTGTTTAGAGAAGCTTATTTGACATTATAATACACATAATGTAACATGAGAGAGAGAGAGAGAAAGAGAGAGAGAGAGAGAGAGAGAGAGATTACGAGATTATTATTTTTCCTTAATTTATGCTTTACAATGAATGGAAGAAAATAAATAAAATAAATAAATACAAAAATAAAAGTCCTGATGAATTAGTCTTAATTTTAGGAGAATTTTTAGGGTCATTTTTAATGCTGGAGACTGTAAAAGGCCTGAGGTTGTAGGTTTTATCTGTGTATCTCTATAACTACCAACAGTCATAAAATAAATGTTCTTCACTCCTGGTCAACTCTTCTTGCATAGTGTTGAGCACAGTAGCTATGGTAGATCTGATCTATATAATATCTTCTTTTTTATCATTTATTTTTTATAGCACAGATCAAAGATCTTCCATCACTTTCATATTCATGTGATTAGATACTTTGACAGATTGTTTATCTGTTGTCTTCCCATTGCAGTGCTCTTGTTTGTCATCATTGGGCAGTTGGCTGTCACAGGTAGCACATGCACATGCAAATTACATATAATGTAAGGGACAGATAATCTATATAGAGGAAACGTCTGTTTTAAATGCATCATACATATTTAATATTGTTCTCTCAGAGATACTCAGAGCTCAGAGCTTGAAGGGTTTTTTTGCATGGTCAAATGGTTCAGATTGATGAAGAAATATGTAACGAACACTGGCTGAAACTTTACCCCTAGGTTAGTGTTTCTAACATATCAACAACCCAAAGTTAAGGGCCTTTTGGCTCCAGCAAATCTGGAATTGAGGTGTAAATCTGTCGGCTTAATACCCCCCAACCCCAGACTCAGTCAGATTTACAGCTGAATCAAGAACCAGCACCCCTCTCCCTTGACCTAGAGGGCAACAGGACAATGGCTCCCTGGAATATTGGCCACATGGCCCTCCGAAGTCCTGTGGACAGCTTTATCTCTAAGTAACAGAAAGTACATTTCTACAGTAAATGTCCACTCCAAACTGCAACTATTCGTTAGAACTCTTTTTAACTAAACTAGACATACCAAAAACGGAACTCGGACGACAAAGTTGCAACTTTCTAAATTCCCTAGAGATCTCAAGCATGGACCCACAGCACCCCCAAGGGGTGAAACCGCGAATTGTCACATCACCACCATGAGGACTTGTGCTAATAAGGAACCCAAGAAACGTCTTGCTTTGTCTGCTTGATTATCAACATTTATATAATCTGTAAGCAATACTACTTGTTGTATTAATCTTGTTGTTGTGTAGTACCTAAATATTACCTGTATGTTTTTCTACTATTAAATGCTAGAAATACATAGAGTATAACTTTGATAACAGTCAGACCCAACCATTTAATTGCTGTGAGTTTAGACCATTGACCAATATGTATCCTGAATGTGGTTTTCTTTTCTTTTCTTCCTTTGTTCCTTTCCTTTTATTGTCGATTTTATTTTTCATGCATTGGGTCATGTTCAGATATGATAGGCAAATAGTACCTGTGTTCGTTGACATGTGTTGTGTATCAAGTAACAAGGGTTAAACTCTCTCTTAGAAACATGCCTGAATATCCTAGTTGTTCATTCCTTGATTTTGAAAGTTAAACCAATTTGATGATATAGAAATGTTTCTTTTTCTTTGTTCAAACTAGCTGAAACAAAGGAGGCAGTGATTCTGGGGAAGGTATTCCTAAAATTATGCACAACCAATCAGATTGGAAACAATGAGTAGCTAGTAACCTTAGGTGAGGAGAACCTATCAGCACTCTGGCTCCACCTCCAAAGGGTAGGGCCTCCAGCCGAGCAAAACCCGAGTGCACCGCAAATTTGAGTTCAGATTCCTGCGTTCGGAACAAAGAATAGCTAAGTTTCTAAGCTCGTGCCGGCCTAGGTCAGAAAGACAGGTCAGAAGTATTAGAACACTAAATTTTCAGATCTGGAACCTTTGTTTGTTTGTAACTTGCCTGTGCATCTACACACCTTAAGTTTGAACCACCCGATTCTGCTAAAGAGAGGTAGTTAGTTAAATTAGTATCACCAGCCTCAGAACCCTGATTGCAACCTGAACCTTGCCAGCGGAGTGGGAGCGGTTCTGACGCCACGGAGACCCAGCATCGCACCCAGAGCCACGCACTGATCTGTGAACAGATTGACCCTCGAAAGGCTGCCCAAGCTCCACCCTCAGACGGCCACGAGACGCCTCCACCCAATCACTGACGGGAAGGCACGTGCCCGCATGTAGATGCAGCATCCACAGCCAGCTAGGAGAGGAACCACCGCGTGAGCTCCAGCCTTCGATCGAGTCTGTCCTGAGACGACCCCTCCTGAAGTCAGCCCCCGACTCCCACGTAAGCTGGTTCCATCAATTTGCAGTCAGGGCCCTGACGCCAATTTATTTAATAAGAGAACTTATATAGGTACATCCAGCCATATAGTTATTCCCGTCCAGGCTTAGGTTAATTCTCTAGAGGCTCTCCCAAGCGACTTCCCAAACCACACTGCCTCATACCATTTAGCCGTGAATCACTCTAACTTACTCGAGCTATTTTGTCTTTCATTACTATCACTTTGTTTTGTTTTGTTTTCTGGTTTTATTTTCTATTGTTTATCATTGAATGTAGTCCAAAAGTAGTTTGATATTTAGCCAATAAATTCCCTTTTCTGAAGCATCCTTGGTGTGAGCGTTTCTCTCTCTTGCCCTGGTCTGTAGACTTCAAATAAATCCGGGTTACCTCACACCCTCACATAAGTTTCTAGCAATAATAATATTAAAAGTTGCAAAACCCATTACAAATATATTGTATATGGTTCTATATAGAAGTTTTTTGAAAAGGGTACTGTAGAGCACCAAAAAGGTTCTTCTATTGTTATAAGCTTGGTATTGTAACAACAGCCAAACCCTTTTTGGTTCCATATAGAACCATAGACAACACATTCCCCAACACAAATTCCATTGAAGAGACATCCTTCATGACCAGTAAAACTGACTGTAATGTTTTTGTGTGTTCATTTAAATTTTCATTCTTTTAGCAAAGCAGGTATGGATTGGAATAGAAGACATCACATAAAAATAAACATGGAGAGGAATGCTGAGTACATGTAATCAGTGAGTTGTTGAGGATGTTGAGGATGTTTTTGTTCAGGTCAGCTGGGTGGTTGTAACGCTGTGGCTCTCTGGCGCAGTAATAAACAGCTGTGTCCCCAGACTGAAAGTTCTGGCCTTGTAAAAACACTGTGCTGCTGGACGTGTCCTGACTGAAACTGATCTTGCTCTTCACTGTGTCTTTGATATTAGTGCTACCACTACTACACAGATATCCAAGCCATTCCAGTGTTTTCCCAGCAGGCTGCCGTATCCAGTTAATACAGTAGCTCGACTCTGAGATCTTACAGGAGATGGAGAACGATTCTCCAGGTTTTACTACCTTAGAATCAGCCTGAGTGAGCTCCACACAGTCTACACCACCTGACAATAACAATGATAGAGTATGGTGTTAATTTCTTATTTACAACTATGTAGAAAATCTCAGTTCAGGTTTAATCAAAACTGATGGAGTTAAGGGAACATTGAGACTTACTGAAAGCTGTTAGCAGCAGCAGCAGCAGCACTGAGGAGATCATTGTTGTTTCGTATTAGACTAAACTGAATGGAGATGCTCTTCTCCTCCTCACCAGCACATACAGACCACTGCTTATGTAGGAGGGGCAGGTGGAGAATTTGCATATAGTGTAATATGTTCACCATTAGCACATCAAATACACTGGGTTTCACATTGTGTCCTTTCACATACGTAAGGGGGAAAAAGGAGGGATGGGAGAAAAAAATAATATAAAAGAAATGGACAGAAAGAAAGAAAGAAAGAAAGAAATACAGACAGAAAGACAGAGAGAAAGTCCATTCCAGACGGCCAGCATAGGTCAGTTGTGGGATATGCTGGTAGCTGTTGCTACTGACAGTTATTTACATTATAAAACCAGTTTACATTATAAAAATCAGTTTCCAGTCCTGGCATTTCTAAAATCTGGCAGGTTTGATAAGTGGACAGTCAGTTACATCAACACTTCAGTAATCATCACTGATCACAACATCCAGGACATCCATGTAAACTGAGTCTGTTGGTTAATGTGGAATCAGAAAGTCAGTTTATTCTCAGTGTCCAGCTGTGAGCACTAAGCAGAATTTCCCAGTTCAGATCTGCTTTGCCTCTCTTGTTGAACTTTAGCTCCACCTGTTGGTGCATTAATGGTAGTTTGCATACAAAAGTTTATCAGCAGTCAACAAACTCACATACATGCAGTTTAGGTTACAATCACTCATCATGTTATGATAAATTTAGTCCATTTTTGTCAACAACTTAAAAAAAAAAAATCAATTACTAAAATTATTGATTCAAATGCTTTACAGAAGATGATATTTTTAGATGCTTTGTTTAATATATGAAGCTATTTGGGAACATTAAACATTATTATGTGAGTAAAACTCTGAAATTATTTATATGCAAAAGTTTGGGCACCCCAGTCAAATATTCCTGCACATTTTTGTGCAAAATTACAGTTTCTTTGCTGAATTTAACAAATAAAATAATAATAATAATAATTGATAAAATGTGGCCTGTACAAAATTTATAGCACAGCATTGATCACCAAGTATGAAATATTTTAGGTATTGTTGATATTAATTGTTGATTTTATTGTCTACTTTATTTGATATATTTGTATTTGTCTATATAATTAAGTTCTGTTACCGAAGAAAACAGAACCCAAACCATTCATTCCTTAGATCATCCTGAACACTTTTCCACAGTATTCCATTTCATTTATATACTAAAATTTTGTCCTTTATGTTCTGCAACTTAGAATATTAACACAGTCTTATTACAATCACATTCCATACATATAGCTATGTGCATCATTATGGAGAAACTATTGGACACTTTATTATTATTACTCCAAACTTTTAACTGGTAGCATATGTCGTTCAACCCAGTGTTATATATCTGAGTGCTTCTCCTTAGGATGAATGGAGAAGTGTTTTTGTACAGCTCTGTCACTGTTTTCTATCACTGTGACGCTCTAGCACAGTAATACACAGCAGTGTCTTCACTCTTCAGGCTGCTCATCTGTAAGTACAGCTGACTGCTGGAGTCGGATCTGGAGATCGTGAATCTTCCCTGGACTGACTGGGAATAGTGGATGGGAGAACTTTGTGTGCTTATATATGCAATCCATTCCAGTCCTTTCCCAGGAGCCTGTCTGACCCACACCATACGATAGTCACTGAATGTGAATCCAGATGCTGTACAGGTCAGTTTATGAGATTGTCCAGGTGTTTTAACCACAGCTTCAGACTGAGTGAGAGTCTGACTCTGAAAACCTGCAGAAAAGAAGAAGAATTAAAGTTCTGAATGAAACATGATCACAGAAAGATTTTCTCTGCTATTTCATTCTCTTATTCTAATCCTGAGACGTACATGGTAGACTAGTGATCATCAGCAGTGTTAGAGATGTGCTGAACATGGTTGAGGTTGAGTCTGAGCTGATGAGCTTTTCTCTGCAGATCTCTCAGTGCTGTTCAGCGTCTCTTCATAAAGGGAGGAGAAGGATTTGCATAGTTACAGTGTCAGAGGGATGACATCACTCATCAGATAACTCTATGGACTTATTTGAACTTACTACATTCACGTTATCTTACAATAGGCCTTTTTCACAAGTGCGTACATCCGGTTGATTGTTTGTTCAATCCAGGGTTGGGATAAAATGGAATACATATTTTGGGAATATGTATTCAGATTACAGAAATTATGTATCTCTATTCAGTCCATGTTACAATTTATAAAGGCAGTATTCAAAATCCGGTTATTTTTCAAGAGTTTCTTGAAAAAGCCCTATTTCTGTTTTGCCTAAATTGGTACAATTAACAGTACCACAGCACAACATCACACTTTACTAGCAAGTGATTCAGTTGGCAGTTTTAGGGTAGTTACTCCGTTTACAATCCATAACAAATACCCCATTTCCAAAAAAGTTGGGATGCTGCACAAAATGTAAACAAAAACAAAATGCAATGATGTGCAGATCATTTATACCCTATATTTTATTGAAAATTGTTCAAAGGCAACATATTAAATGTTGAAACTGAGAAATTGTATTGCTTTTTGAAAAATCAATGCCCATTTTGAATTTGTTGCCAACAACACATTCCAAAAAAGTTGAGACTGGGGCCTATTTACTACTGTGTTTCATCACCTCTTCTACACTCTGTAAGCGTTTGGGAACTGAGCAGACCAACTACTGTGGTTTTGAAAGAGAAATGTTTCCCATTCTTGTTTTATATCGGATTTCAGCTGCTCAACAGTTCGGTGGCTCATTTATCGTATTTTTCGTTTCATAATGTGCCAAACGTTATCAGTGGATGACAGGTCTGGACTGCAGGTCAGTTTAGCACCCCAACTCTTTTAATATGGAGCAATGCTGCTGTAGTACTTGCAGGATGTGGTTTATCATTGTCTTGCTGAAAGAATCAAGGCCTTCCCTGAAAATCACATTGTCTGGATGGCAGCATATGTTGCCAAAAAATGTATATATTGTTCAGCATTAATGGTGCCTTCACAGATGTGCATATCACCCATGATATGTGCACTAATGCCCCCCATACCATCATGAATACTGGCTGTTGAACCGTGCACTGATAACAAGCTGACTGGTCTTTAGCTTGGAGGACACAGTGTCCATGATTCGTCGGACCGCAGGATATTTTTCCACTTCCCCTCAGTCCATTTTAAATGAGCTCAGGCCCAGAGAAGGTGGCGGCGTTTCTGGATCCTGTTCATGTACAGTTTCTTCTTTGTGTATTACAGTTTTAACTTGCATTTGTGGATGGAGTGATGAACTGTTTTCACAGACAGTGGTTTTAAGAGATGTTTCTGAGCCCATGCAGAGATTTCCACTACAAAATCATGTCTGTTTTTAATGCAGTGCTTCCTGAGGGCCCAAAGATCAAGGCCAGCAAATACTGGTTTTTGGCCTTGTCTCTTGCATACAGAGATTTCTCCAGATTCTCTGAATCTTTTAATGTTATTTTGTACCATAGATGATGAAAAGTTCTCAATTTCTCAGTTTCAACATTTGATATGTTGTCTTTGTACTATTTTCAATCAAGTATAGAGTTTAAATGATTTGCACATCATTGCATTTTGTTTTTATTTACATTTTTGTTATGTTGTTATGTTGTAATGTTATTGTGTTGGTTCCAGTGTCTCTGGAGATGCTGAACTTGTTTTTCAGTTTATCACTGTACTCTGTGCTCCCACTGCCCCTGATAAAGCCAATCCACTCCAGAGCTTTTCCTGCAGGCTGCCAGATCCAAGCTGTAGCATAGCTTGTAACTGAATATGAGACCTTACAGTCGATAGTCAGACTCTGGCCTGGACGGACCACCATGGAACCAGGCTGAGTCAGTTCCTCACAGTGAACACCTGTGGACAAAAAATATATAGTGATTAGATGCACCAATTTAATGCAGTTTGAAACTGAGCTTAAACTTAATAGCATTCTGACTGAGTGAAATGTGGTCTTTACTGAGTAACTCACAGGATGCAGCTGCCAGCAGGAGCAGTAGAGATGTAGAGAACATGGTTGGTGTTGAAGTTGGACCTTCACAGCTTAACAGAGAGTGTCTAATCCCCTATTTATCATTGCACAAGTGGACATTTGCATACAGGCCGTATTATTCATAGTTTATTCATGGGGGAGTTGTGTGTTTTTGACTGTAAGCAGCCCTCTGATGGCTCCTACAGTCATTACAGTTTAAGTGATGTCACAGATGGAAATGATTTTGGTCCCATCAGTCATTGTTCAGATTTTTGGATAAATCTGTTACATGTCTTGTCCTCAACTGTAATTGTAGAAAAAATGTCAAAACAAAGCATGTTTTGTCGTTTTGTGTCCATTCACATCTAACTGTATTTTTTTAAAATTGCTCCACCAAAAGTTCATCATTTCTTGTAAAGTTTAACTACAACCCCAATTCCAAAAATGTTAGGACACTGTATAAAATGTAAATAAAAAAAGAAAGCAATGATTTGCAAATCTCATAGACCCATATTTTATTCACAATAGAACACAGGACACATATCAGATGTTGAAAGTGAGACATTTAGAACTTGATGGCAGCAACACATCTCAAAAATGTTGGGACAGGGTCAACAAAGGCTGGAAAAGTAAGTGTTACTAATAAAAAACAGCTGGAGGAGCAATTTGCAACTAACTCACATGAGTGGGTATAAAAAGAGCATTTTAGAGAGACAGAGTCTCTCAGAAGCAAAGATGGGCAGAGCAAAACTGTGTCTAAAAATTGAGGAACAATTGCAGAAAAATGTTCCTCAGTGTGAAATTGCAAAAACTTGGGATATCCCACCATATACAATACATAATATCATCAAAAGATTCAGAGAATCTGTAGAAATCCCTGCATGCGAGGGACAAGGCTGACGGTCAATACTGGATGCTCGTGATCTTTGGGCCTTTGTCAGCACTGCATTAAAAACAGGCATGATTCTGTACTGGAAATCACTGCCTGGGCTCAGGAACACTTCCAGAAATCATTGTAATCCGCAAATGCAAGTTAAAGCTGTATCATGCAAAGAAGAAGCCATATGTCAACAAAATCCAGAAACACCGCCATCTTCTCTGGGCCAAAGCTCATTTGAAATGGACTGAGACAAAATGAAAACTGTACTGTGGTGAGATGGATCAAAATTTGACATTCTTTTTGGAAACTCAAGAGACTCCTCGGACTCAAGAGGAGAGGGACCATCCAGCTTCTTATCAGCACACAGTTCAACAGCCTGCATCTCTGATGGATTGGGGTTGCATTTGTGTCTGTGGCATGGGCAGCTTACACATCTGGAAAGGTTCTATCAATACTGAACAGTTTATAGAGGTTTTAGAACAACATGTGCTCCCATCCAGACAATGTCTCTTTCAGGCAAGGCCTTGCATATTTCAGCAAGACAAAGCTGCATCCATCACAACAGCATGGCTTCACAGAAGAAGAGCCCGGGTGCTGAACTGGCCTGCAGTCCAGACTTTTCACCAGTAGAAAACATTTGGCACATCATGAAATGAAAAATCCAGCAAAAAAGACCCAGAACTGTTGAGCAGCTAGAATCCTACATCAGACAAGAATGGGACAACATTCCTCTCCCAAACCTCCAGCTATTGGTTTCCTCACTTCCCAGATGTTTTCAGACTGTTGTTAAAGGAAGGGGGGATGCTACACAATGGTAGACACGGCTCTGTCCCAACTTTTTTGAGATGCATTGCTATCATCAAGTTCTAAATGAGTTAATATACGGGAACACCTTTAACATCTGATATGTGTTCTATGTTCTGTTGTGAATAAAATATGGGTCTATGAGATTTGCAAATCATTGCATTCTGTTTTTATTTACATTTATTTACATTTTATACAGTGTCTTAACTTTTTTGGAATTGGGGCTGTAATATTCAAACATGTCTACTGCCTTTGTAATGACGACATTCCCATAAATGTGAAATTATTTTTCTCAGACGGGTTCACGATCGGAAATCTTCATTTGGGACATTTTACATGTTATTAACTAACCCTATCAGGAAGGACAATCCAGAAGGATTTCTATATTTTTTGTCGTAAGTAGAAATCCCAGAGTAGGTAACTGGGAGATTAAGGAGAATTCCCAGTGAGCTGGTAGCGCTTTGGGCCGGTTACTGTGAGCTATTATATAAACTCATACATATAAGCACAAGAACTCTCAGACAAACATAAAAGTTACATACAGGTGTTTATCTGTTGTACATTAGGGGTTAAACCAGCCTCTACCTACCCCCCTACCTCTAGTGGTCCAGTCCTAAGTTTGCAGATTGAAACCGAGTCTTGTACAGTGGACAGAGATTAAATGAAGCTGAAGTTAGCATCTTATTCTCATTTCCCATTGCACTTTAAATGATGTAGCAGTTACATTTAGACACCTGTTTAGGTGCTAGCATGTAACTGCTGCACTATTTAAGAAGGAAGGAAATTCGAATAGGAAGCTAACATCAGTCTAAAAAAAATGGACAGCAGCAGAAAGAACTGCAAAATATCATGACAAGAATGAAGAAGCTATTTAAGGAGGATGAGGAGATATCCAAGCAGGTGGGCAGTGAAAGATGCTGACCTTAAATTGCTTAGCTAGCATTTTGACTGTCATGATTGTCAGTTATGATAAAAGCAAAACAATTTTAATTTCATTACTAGTTGGCCACCTTAGTATTTCAGTGTAGCATATAAATAATAATTGAGAGTAAGAAATAAAAAGATGAACATCTACAGATTTGCATCATATGATGTCCATTCTGAAAACAAGTCCCATTCCGGCCCTGATTAGAAGTAATAGTAGTGGTAATGGATTTATACTGGATTTATGCAGTATTTCAATATTACTATTACTATTTTATGTCGTAGAATACATTTTATACATACATTTTATTTTGCTCATAGCGGGATTTATGCTAGATTTTTTGTGCTACAAAATGAGCTGAAAAACATTACATAATCAAAATGCGTAGGAAAGTTCAGCAACCTCTTCTATAAAATCTTCTCTTTACAAAGAAATAAATATTTTATTTCTAACATCATTCATGGACTACATTTTTTGAAAATCATGTAAATCTATGCACATTGCTTTATATTTAGATCTAATTTCATAAATCTGTAATTTGTAGTTTTTCAGAAAACTCTAAATGCAAATAAATAAATAAATAAATAAATACTTGTAAGAATATCATCAACCAACTTGCAGAAGTTCACTATAATATTCAGTGTTTTAAAAATGGCCCTATTGACCCTTAGTTTCTTGCCTTAAAGGGCCCAAATCATGGAAAACTGAAATTTTCCTCACTTTTTTGAGTTTGATATAAGTTTATGAGACGCTCCAGGTCTTTTAACCACAGCTTCAGACTGGATAAAGGTTTGGCACAGAACACCTTTGGAAAAGATACATGTAAATACAACCAATATTGCAATATAATAAAACAAATTCAAATACTGATTATTGAATTCATCTCACCATTCAGAAACATTAGTATCAAAAGCTGATTCACAACAAGCTCCATAGTTTCTTCCTTATTTTCTTGGTTATTCTTTCTTAGTTCATAGCAGTGGAATCAGGCATCACATATAAGAGGAAGATGAGTTTGCATGGATCCGCCTCACTGGCTTCATCCACCAATAAGGAACCTGATAATGAAGCCTGTACAATGAGTTCTGTTTAAGATTTAGGGTGATGTGTGGAGTAGAACAATATAATCACTGCAACATTTTTTACTGCTGTTTAATGAACAACCCAGTAAAATCACATGTAAAAATACGTTAACACATCTTCTAATTAGAACAAATGTAAATATGACTTTTAACTGCTAATTTAGTGCATAATTTCTCTTTATTTGCTAAGTCTAAAGTATAGAAAAAAATTAAACAAATAACATCAACAAAAACATTAACAAATTAAATTAACCCTCTATTGCACGATGTTGCCTCAGGGCAACAAACTCATTTTCCTCACTTTACACTATCATTATACATATTTAATGACAACGATAGAGTTAACAAGAGGAAGAGTTTGAGTAAGTCAATAAAATGTATTTGGTCACGAATATACTTGGTCACACTATCTCTTAGTGGGCACATTTACACCTCATTTTTAACATTAAGTATCTTTTTTTTTTTTTTGAGAATTTGCAGAAATGTTTGTTGCCTAGAAGTAACATTGTATAAAGGTGGAATGGATTTAGCCATGTCACAAGCCAGGTCTCACCACTTCAAGGAACACAGCTCTATATAATTTCTTCCCATTGTTGCACAATGTTGCCTCAAGGCAACATACTCCAAAGGGACACCCTGCACACATATTTTTTGTCTTTAATAATAAGGAATGAAAAAATAAATCAAGGACCATGAAAAGCGAACTTTTTTATTGCTCTCATAATGTGTGCAGTAGAGGGTTAACAAATAACAATAAATTGCCCCATAAACTTTATACAGACCGAATTTTATATTTTATTCTTTCCCCCAATATGTTCATTTCAGTAGATATACAGTATAAATACATTCAGATGTGGAGAAATGTTCTCTGTAGAGGATGTGTTAACATACTTTCACTTAGAAAATCAAATCATGTCATTTGAGCAGGGGTGCCCAAACTTTTCTTGTATCGTGTATATAAATTCATTAAGAATGATTAATAATGATGTATGTTTTTTGTGTATCTATTACATTTTTTGTTCATTTAAAATGCTTGTATGGATTGATTGATATTTGCATGCATAGATTAGAAGATATAAGATAAAAAAGAACATGGAGAGGAGTGCTGAGATGTAAGCCATTAGTGAGTTGTTGAGGGTGTTTTTGTTCAGGTCAGCTGGGTGGTTGTAACACTGTGGGTTGTCTGACGCAGTAATAAACAGCTGTGTCATCAGACTGAAAGTTCTGGCCTTGTAAAAACACTGTGCTGCTGGACGTGTCCTGACTGAAACTGATCTTGCTCTTCACTGTGTCTTTGATATTAGTGCTACCACTACTACACAGATATCCAAGCCATTCCAGTGCTTTCCCAGCAGGCTGCCGTATCCAAGTAATACAGTAGCTCGAGTCTGAGGTCTTACAGGAGATGGAGAACGATTCTCCAGGTTTTACTACCTTAGAAGCAGCCTGAGTGAGCTCCACACAGTCTACACCACCTGACAATAACAATGAGAGAGCATGGCGTTAATTTCTTATTTACAACTATGTATAAAATCTCAGTTCAGGTTTAATCAAAACTGATGGAGTTAAAGGAACATTGAGACTTACTGAAAGCTGTTAGCAGCAGCAGCAGCACTGAGGAGATCATTGTTGTTTCGTATTAGACTAAACTGAATGGAGATGCTCTTCTCCTCCTCACCAGCACATACAGACCACTGCTTATGTAAGAGTGGCAGGTGGAGAATTTGCATGTAGTGCAATATGTTCATCATTAGTACATCAAATACACTGGGTTTCACTTTGTGTCCTTTCACATAAGTAAGGGGGAAAGGAGGAATGGGAGAAAAAAAAGAAGATAGAAGAAATGGATAGAAGAAAGAAAGAAAGAAAGAAAGAAAGAAAGAAAGAAAGAAAGAAAGAAAGAAAGAAAGGAAAAAAGAAAAAGAAAGAAAGAAAGAAAGAAAGAAAGAAAGAAAGAAAGAAAGAAAGAATGAATGAAAAGAGACAAAGAAGAAAAAGACAAGAAAGAAAGAAAGAAAGAAAGAAAGAAAGAAAGAAAGAAAGAAAGAAGGGAGGCAGGAAAAGATAAAGACAAAGGAATACAGAATGAAACAGAAAGAACAGAAGCAGGAAGAAAGAAAGAAAGACAGAAAGAAGGGAAGGAGACAGAAGAAAAAGAGAAGAAAGAAAGAAAGAAAGAAAGAAAGAAAGAAAGAAAGAAAGAAAGAAAGAAAGAAAGAAAAGAGAGAGGAAAAGAAGAAATATATCTGCTTTCAATATGGGTCCATTCCAGATGGTCAGCACAGGTCAGTTTGTGGGATCTGTTTGTAGCTGGAGCTACTGACTGTTAGCAGGGACTGTAATTTGGTCAAGGATGATTCTCCACAGTAGAGGTCCTCATCTCCAGACCCTCAATCCAGTGTCCAGTCCTGGAGTTTCTAAAACTGGCAGGTTTAATATAAAGTGGACAGTCAGTTAAATCAATACTTCAGTAACTATCACTGATCACAACATCCAGGACATCCATGCAAATTCAGTCTGTTGATTAATGTGGAATCAGAAAGTCAGTTTATTCTCAGTGTCCAGCTGTGAGCACTAAGCAGAATTTCCCAGCTCAGATCTGCTTCGCCTCTTTTATTGAACTGTAGCTCCACCTGTTGGTGCATTACCGCTCTGGGGTCTGAGAGCATTTAGATTTTTTTTTTTTTATTCTTAAATTCACCATTAAATGTACTTTCAATGTGGCTTTAACCACATATTATATATCAAAATGTTCAAAACAATCTCTACAATAAGACCCCTTTGACCTGGAGCACCATGTAAAGAGATGATTGGGCCTGAAAGCTGAAAAAAATAAAATCTGGTTTTAGAAATTCTTAATATCGCTTGTGAAAACAGCTTTACTCAAATGGAAAATTTGTTTTAGTGCTTGAAATGGGTTTACCAAAGTCTTAAGTTCACAAACATAGTGGAATGTATGAATAAAATAGCAGATAAATTTTCTCCTCACCGCTATTTTTTCAAAACCGCTGCAGCAACTTCAGTGGTTGCGAACTTTTTACACACCACTTGCATCTGTGTCCAAGGCGAGTGAACAAAAAATGAAGTGTTTTTGACATGATGGGTCAGATCTTAGTGATATCCTGAGCGTCCATTGGTCAGTTTCCTGCAAAATATAGACAGAGACATGAATCCACCAATTACAGGTGCACATCCGTTATATCACATTTTTCAACACAGAAATCTTCACTTCTTAACTAGCCTGAGTATTGTCAACAATGCTCATTCCTGCTGTGGAGTTTTCAATATTTCAGTGGGGTTTTCCAAGCTAACAGTGGGGAACATTCACATTACATTCACATTACATTACTCATAGCTTAAACACTGCTATTAGAAACTTCTATTATATGTTAATGATGTATTCTTAACTTTTCAAGGTGCAGTCTTTCATTGCATTTGTAAATATGAATAATAAGCATTTACTGACCCAAATGTGCTCCGAAAACATCACAGTGTATCCAGCAATAAAGGAAGCCTCGTGCATCTTTTATATAGTGATAGAAAACACAGTTGCACGCAGAAAGTGCAGATTCTACATGATAACACGGTTCACTGTCTCCAATGTGGACATGCATATACCATAACACAAGGAGTCATCACCAAACACCAGTGGTGGACGAAATATACAAACCATGTACTTGAGTTAAAGTAGAGATACCCAAGGTAAAATATTACTCCAGTAAAAGTAGAAGTTCCTCCATTTAGACCTCCAAATGTACTTAAGTATCGAAAGTGAAAGTACTAAAAGATCAATTATGACTCTGATGTCCTATTATCATTTTTGTAACAGGACTCTGCTTCATTAACTCATTTTAGGTGAAAATACTCCAGTATCACTCTTGGTAAACCAGTCTTTTAATGTCTATTTAAATTATCATAAGCACAAATCTCTGAAGGCAAACCATTTCCATTAGGTAGAACCGAGTGGCTCCATAATAACCTTTTACGAACAAGCAAAGTTTCAGTTTAAGATTTATTTGCAACTTAGTTACAAGTTTAAGTTTAATAAAAACTTTAAACTCAGGTTCACAAATGAGTTTTCCTTTACTATATTGCATCTGTAGGTCTCTGTTCATAAACATAAACTAGCAAAAACTAATTTACTATAAAATGAAATGTGTTTGTATAAATTCAGAAAAAAGACACGTCAGTCACAACTGCATATGTGTACATATTTCTATATTGTGGTCTATTTACACAAAGTTAGGTTCGAGTCAGGATATTCTTCCATCATTTATGTTGGAATAGACACTCCCAAACTTTTATGCTGTCGTTGAACCATGTGCTTGTACTGGGTCGGTATGTTCAACAGGTCAAAACAAGCTCAAAACAAAGTGCATGCTGTGCCCTGATTGGTGTTCTTGCTTCATGCCTCTTTCTTTTTGACATGTTATGTTTTTATACACACATAAACCAAAAGGACAGATTTCTCAGAATGTAGTGGAGTAAAAAGTGAGATATTTGACTTTGAAATGTAGTGGAGTGAAAGTAAAAAGTCACCCAAAGTGGAAATACTTCAGTAAAGTACAGATACACAAAAAAACGACTTAAGTACAGTAACGAATTACATTTACTTAGTTACTGTCCACCAATGCCAAACATTCAGAATAGAGATAAATTCTACCAAACATACAAAGGTCTATATTTGTCATATTATGGCTTATATATATTATGGCTTAGATATTTTTGGGTATAGAAGCATCTACATCTCCACACTGAAAAACAATACACTTTTACAGTTTTAGGATTTTTTACACATATCATAATTTTCCGATTAGGTATTAGTCAAGATTTTAGTTTAGATTGGCATGCTTACATTTTCAATGCATGTTCTTCATGTCTTACAGTTTCTACCTTACAATTTTCACTTTGACTGAAAAGAGCATAAACTAGTTCCAAATAGGAAACTAGTATTTTTTGAGCCAGACCATATGTAGCTAATTTCTTGACAAGTTGAACATATTTATTTCATTAGATCTCATTTCAGGACAGTAGGTTTTTGTAAGCCGTGTTCATTAGTTTAGTGTCACTGTGAGAGTCTCACACAGTAATACACAGCTGTGTCTTCAGTCTGCAGATTCTGTCCTTGTAATGTTATTGTGTTGGTTCCAGTGTCTCTGGAGAAGCTGAACTTGTTTTTCAGTTTGTCACTGTAAGCTGAGGTCCCACTGTCCCTAATATATCCAATCCACTCCAGAGCTTTTCCTGCAGGCTGTCGGATCCAAGCTGAATAATAGCTTGTAACTGAATATGAAACCTTGCAGTTGATGGTCAGACTCTGGTCTGGACGGACCACCATGGAACCAGGCTGAGTCAGTTCCTCACAGTGAACACCTGTAGATCAACAATATATAGCGAATAGATGCATCAAATTAACGCAGTTTAAATTTGAGCTTAAAATGAATTGTATATATATATATATATATATATATATATATATATATATATATATATATATATATGAATACATATTGAATCACAACTCACAGGATGCAGCTGCCAGCAGGAGCAGTAGAGATGTAGAGAACATGGCTGGTGTTGAAGTTGGACCTGTGTGATCGTCTCTGTTCTCCACAGCTTAATTGAGAATGTCTCATCCTCTATTTTATATCACACAAGTAAACATTTGCATACAGAACTCATTATTCATACTTTGTTTTATGGGGGAGTTTTTTGTCTTTTACTGTAAGGATCCCCCAAATTGCTCTTTAAATCACTGCATTCATAGCAGTATGATTAGATGACTAAATTTTTGAAATAAATGATTCCTACAAAATATAGTTTAAGTGATCTTACAGGCAGAAACAATGATTGTAATGCATGATATATGTGTTATAGATAAATTACATCTATACAATTTTTTTTTTCAGCTGTAATCAGTCAAAAATGTCAAAACAAAGCATGTTTTGTCAGTTTGCATCCAATACTATATTTAACTGTATTTTTTTAAGTTAGAAACATTATTGTATGCTTTGCTCCACTCAAATCTTGTTTCCTGTATAATTCAACTAATATCCATATATGTTTATTTTCTTTGTAATAACAGCATTCCCATAAATTTAAAGTTATTTTCCTCAAAATGGTTCGGAACCACAGGTCTGCATTCAGGACATGTTCTTTGCTAACTCTGTATTGAAGGATAACACAGAAATATTTCCACATTATTATTATCAGCAGAAATGCCAGAGTGGGTTATCAAGAGAGTCGAGAGAATCCTCGGTGGGTTACTATAAGCTAATGTATATACATGAAATATAAACACAAAAATGCTTAGACAAACTATACTTAATACATCCAAGTGCTTATCTGTACTAATTAAACCCACAGCCCCACCTCATTTTTTCAGCCCCAGCTGCTGCACTGTTTAAGAAGGAATGGAAAGACAGATAGCAGCAGAAAGAACTGCAAAAAACCTAGGCAGCATCAAGAAGACAAGAATGAAACTGATACGTAAGGAGGATGAGGACCTATCTGAGCAGATGTGCAGTGAGAAATGCTGACCTTCACTTACTTAGCTAGCATTAATTTAGCTTAGCTAGCATTTTGACTGTCATGATTATGTTACATTTATGATAAAAATAAAACAATTTTTCATTTTGTTATTAGTTAGCCTTGGTATGTCAGTGTGGTATATA